CCAACCTTCCTTCCGAGGAGTGGCTGGTGGGTTTGAACCACCAGCCGTCTGGTTAGCAGGCAAGTGTCTTAGCCACTATGTTACCAGAGCTCCCATTACTTTACAGTGGTAGAGATTTCAAGGAAAACTATAATAAAGGATTTTGTTTTGGGAAAATAGCCACATTACAATTCCCATCAATTCCACAAATTATTGATCCTTCTCTGTGAAAGATACTGGATAGACCCTGAAAGGGTAATGTATATGATTAACCCACACTCCTGCATTCAAAAATTTGACAGACTACAAACCAGAAGGCTGGCAGTTCAAGCTCAACAGCCACTCCTCGGAAGGAAGGTTGGGCAGTATACTCCCGTAGCGATACTGCCTTGGAAACCCAAGGAGGGGTCGCTATGAGTCAGGTCTGACTCGGCGGCACATAACAACAAGTACATGAAAAAGTCTGATTTGAGGCATATAATAAATGCCACAATAGATATAGAAACAATGTATTATGGTATGCAGAAGGACAAGAAGTCACTCTAATAAAGGAACCAGGAACCACTGCATAGTTCAGTTAGTAGAAGTTCACAAGAAACTTAAAATATCTTTGTTTGAAAAATATAATTCATCATGCATTGTGTTCTCTCCTTTGCTTTTCATTTCCTTATTTAAATTGCCTAGAGTTATGTTTATTTTATTGTGTAGCCAAAAAATATATATTTTTTTTAGTAAAAATGTAGAGAAGATGCCCAAGATTAGATACATGGACAAATTGGCAGTTAACTTAGCAGATAATTACCAAACTTTTACCAGTCAGTTCCAGTGTCATACCTTTTTATTATCAAAGATTTATCAACAACATTAAGTGGGAGAGTGATTTTGAAAATGTCACTCTTAAATAAACTTCTCTACTGCTAACCAGAAGGCTGGCAGTTCAAACCCACCAGCCACTCCTTGGAAGGAAGGTTGGGCAATCCTACTTTCGTAGTGATACTGCCTCGGAAACCCAAGGAGGGGTCGCTATGAGTTGGGGCTGACTCAACGGCACATAACAACAACATGGTTAATTAATACTGATGCATAATTTTGGCCTACATTTATATACTTCCAAATTAGCTGTATACTTGTTTATTTATGTTTAAGTTTCGTCTTTCTTGTGTCCTTTATTGCAACTGGGGAATCAGCTGGAACACTTGCTATACCAATGCTATGTTCTGTTGTAGAACCCAGGCTCCCTGAATATATAATTAGTATATATTCTTCTTTTCTTGGCCTGCTTTTTATTTAAAGAAAAAATTGTGGGACTTTTTTTTTCTCTGCTTAGAATGCATAGTTTATTCCTTCATGCAGTGAAGAGACATAAAAATAAATATATGAATATTTATGGCTGTTGTACTAGACATAATATGCTGAATAGTGAAGAGAGCTAAGGCTGAATAGCTAATCCAATTTACCCTTACTTTTTTGGTAGTTTGTTTTTGTATTTTTCACTTAGGATTCTTTTAGCGCTAAATAACAGAATACATGTATAAAAGTGATTTGAAATTAAGCAACTTTACTATTTTATACAAATGGAAGTAGAAGGTTTTAGGAATTAGTTTCTCAACAAAGTTATCAGCGTTTCATTTTTTTCTCAGCCGTTCTTAGTTTTGTGGCTTTATTTTAGATGCACACGCTAACAGCCCTAAAATGGCTGCTGAAGTGCTCACATAACACCTTCATACAGCTGATAAAGGGCCTAGTTGAGTATCATCTCTCCTTGTGTTTCTTTTTTCCCAGGAAGCAAACCTTTTCCAATAGCCCCACAACAGATTTCCCATTTCAGCTGGTTGACCAGAACTTCATCTTACAGTTTTGGCTAAACTGATCTTTGGTAAAACAGAGTGTAACCTCCAAGAAAGTGGGATTCTCAGTGAAGAATAGAAAAAAAATGGCTGGTGGGAAGGGAATTAACATCATCCTCTCTAGCATATTATATCAATGTTGTTGTTATGTGCCATGGAGTCGGACCCGACTCATAGCGACCCCTCCTTGGGTTTCCGAGGCAGTGTCACTATGGAAGTAGATTGCCCCATCATCCTTCCGAGGAGTGGCTGGTGGATTTGAACCGCCAGCCTTCTGGTTAGCAGTCAAGTGCCGTAGCCACTATGCTACAGTTTGAAAGCCGGTGATACATAAAAGTCATAGCATATTAAATTCACCATGAAGTACTGGATCATGTAATTTCTTCTAGTTAGTTAAAAAATAAAATGACACTTAGAGAACTTAATTCATTTAGTCCTACTCGTAGCAAGACTTGAATCAAGTTTACCAGATTACTACCCCAGCACTCTTTCTCTTATGGGTTTTTATTCTTATTTTGTTGTTTAATTCCTTGTCGTTTACTAGTCTGGTAGGAAACACTAACATAAATTTTTTTTAAAAGCCCAGTAAATCAAAGTTCATTTTTTCTTTTTGGTTAGATCTGTACTGAGAATGATGATGTTTTTGGAAGATATTTCACATGCAACTGTTTCTTAAAGAAACCTGACATTTTAAAATTTGGCTTTTAAACCAAAGAGAGACACAAGGATAATTTCTTTTCTTTTCACTGAAATGTATCTGAAGGAAATTTCTGAATACTCTTTTACTTGAGAAGTTTTATCTGGTTTCTTACTGTAGTGTTGTAATTAACGAATATATTTTCCTTTGAGATAAACTATTTTTTTCATTTACTAAATTACTGCATTGTCATCCTAACATATTTTTCGAAGAATAGCTTTTGAAATAATTTCAATATTGTTACCTATATT